CAAATGACAAATGAACATCAATTACCTTGCCAACTGCATGATGCCGATACAGTTGTTGACGTCCAGCGTGTCCTTGAGGAAGTCGCAGCAGAGTTCAGTAACGTCTGGTATACATAAGTATTCAGCCGCCGCGAGCAGTTTACGCGCGTTGTCGGCGCGGATGTCCACCTTGCGAAAATAAACATAATCCAGTATCTGGGTCATCACCTCCGAGCTAATTCCGTGGAGGAAAACATCAGTATCCTCACCGGTGTGCAGTTCTGCCGTGTAGAGGGTCCTGAAACGTCACGAAGCAGTCGTCGATTTAGAGAAACGGCGAGCAGAAAATTACAAGTCATGCGCATAAAGTTTAAGTTTTTATGACTCACGTAGCAAAATAAACGTATCCTTTTGTCAATGAGGTGGATGAATTTTTGTTATCTGAATACTTCAAACACTCCCAGAATGTGTACTAATGGGACCACATTAACTGCGACAGGATGAAGAGCGGGCGAAGACCTAACAGAATTTAACTTAAAAATCGGAAAGCAAGCAGCGAGCATTTGTACTACAGAATGGTCACCTCGTTTCTTACATAACCTTGACTTCTTCAAGAGATATCTGAGGTTATAACAACTACTTCAGAAATTTTAAAGCCAACGCAAATATTTCAACATTCATCGCGGGCTGTACATTCCACTGATTGACCAGTTCGTAATATGAAATTATTTGTTCTGTCAAAACATTTTCCCGACAATAAACAACTTAAAAGAAAAGCCGATGTTTCTATGCGGCCTTTAAAAAGTGATCACAAATCAGCAAACAATTTCCTATTACAAATTAAAGGCTTCGCAGTGTAAGACAAACGGAAAGATTTGATTGTCGCAAACTGAAAGAGGGTCACAGTTTGTAACAAGAAGTGAGACACGTCTCTTGGAAAACACAAGCAATGGTACACATTTCTCATTTCAAGAACGCACTGCATCTTTATTTAAAACACAAGCAAATTAAAAAATGCACAAAATCTCGAACGATTCTCTCCTGCCAATGGAACTTATTTCCCGATGGTCTTTGTTACAGTTTATTTCAGACAGAGCAACACACAGAAGCTTTCAATGTTCCGGACAATGGCGTGACGAAGGTGCATTACCAACTTCTGGACTTTGTCCGCCAACTTCATGTATTAAAACCAAGACATTATGTAAACTGATTCTATTTCTCCCTCCAGATCGATTGACTGTCACCTTGATACAAGCGCACTTAAAAATTAGTACAAAAGACCACGTACATCTTTTGGGATGTTGCGTCGTGTTGTCTCTTAGAAATTATCGGACGTTTCAGAGGTGCTTACTGCCTCCATCATCAAGGAAAGAAGGCAGTAAGTACGTCTGAAATGCCACTCAGTTTCTACGGCGCAACGTCCAGAACACCTTCTTCTTCTTCTTCTTCCTCTCCGCCGTGAGATTTCATGACAATGAACGAATAACAAAAGACAATCAGCCGTATAACAATGCAGGTTTCTGCATTAAAGGGGGTAAAACATTTCACATACTAATTGACTTCTATTGTGTCCCTATTTCACGTGTCAATAAACGACGTCAGTAAATATACAAACCCGAAAAATGCGCTGCACATGGACAGAATCACTCTGTGGACTGGAAAGACGCCACCGTCCTCCAACCTCAACACCGCGTCACATGAGAGGTTCCTCTCTCTCAGCTCGTTCAGGCGGACCAATGCTTCGGTGCGACTTTGGTTTGACTCCATCTCCTGAAAAGACAGTCCATCGCTGTTACAGGATTTTCTTCATACTGAGAGTGACTGAGAGGGAACACGGTACTGAGAAGAATATCTGGTCCTGCGAGAGAGTTACTGACAAGGTAATGGAGAAAATTGCGTAATATGGAACTTTACAGATCTCTTCACTAATTAAAAAGTTGTAGGCTGTCAGATCAAGGGTGATGAGATGGGCGGGGCATGTAGTACACATGGCAGAGACAAGAAGTGCAACTTTTCAATCGGAAGACCTGAAAAGAAAAGGTCAGTTGAGAGTCCTATGAGTTACTGGGATAATATTAAAATGGATCTTAGAGGTGGGGAATGAATGTGTTTATTGACTTCATCTGCTTGTGGATGTGGCTTAGGGGCGGGGTTTTGTAAACACGACATGAAACTTCTTGTTTCATAAAATGCGAGACATTTTATCACCTGGGCTACTGTTAGATTCCATGGACTCGGTTTCTTTCTTTGTTACA